TTTCACAAAGGGTGGCGTTGAAAAATTTTCTGCTCCTTAGGGGGGCGGCAGCTTCAAAAAGATTGAGAATCACTGATCTATGGCATATTAACAGTTTTAAACTGCACATCATCCAGCAGAAAGCAATTAAAAATGAAATGATAACAGGCAAATAGCATTTTAAATGGGATGGGAGATTTGGATAATCTCTTACCTTGTAATATTTTGTTCCAGATTCATTTTGAAATAGTGTAAGACATTTACTGTCTAATCTCCAGTAATGTCTTTTTCTCTGCAACAGAGTACAGTTTCTGATTAAGATACAGCTATTTATTCATTTCATTTTATTTGTATAGCTGCCCATCTTAAAATCAAACTCTGGTCAGCTAACTATACACTACATATAACTTATATATACAGTATATAAACTACTTATATACACTATCTACTTGAATTAATTTCAAAAGTTTCAACAGTTCTGCCTGTGTTTGGATTTTAAAAAAATCTATCAACTGCATTACTAAACATTACATATTCCTGAACTGCTGCAGAAAATAGTTATTAAGTGAACATAGAATCTGAACAGTTTCCTTGTATTGGCTGTGCCATTTTCTGGCATGAGAAGCTAAACCCAATTCTTAACTCAACGCAAGAATAGATATCTGAACTATGGTCACAATACTTTGCAAAAGTCTTTATGTGAGACAAACAACCATTATATGCATCAAGGGATGCTTTGATACAAGACTTTTACTGTGTCTTCACCCTGCCTTATTCACAGAATTTTGTGGGGAGGTCCAGATGGGTCTCCACTTGTAACTCTGTCTTCTTCCATCATGTCTTTCAGTTTTCATCTTTCTGCAGAAAAGCTGCCAAGTAGTTCCATCTCTTAAATAGAGTACAAAGTGCCATGCATCTGGAAATACAAAGTTTTCCACTGAGAGAGAGCTTAATTACTCACCAGGTTGTCTCTACTTGTGTAGTGAACCATCCATCCTTCCTTCACCATTGTACTGCTCTTCCTCTTTGTGTGTTTGACTGACTGTACAACTCTCATTAACGGAATATTATTGCTTGTTGATGGGCTGTTGAAGAAAAAAATTGCACAATCATTTATCGCCCCACTGGTGCAGCAGACACCACTGATGCCAAAATAATCTTCTGTACTCTGCTACATAGCAAGGTGGGCTGAAAGCATATTTCTGATCATTCATTGCATCTACTTCATCAGCCACTTGTGCTGGAGTGGAAGTACTACTCCAAGCAATCTCTTTGGCTATTTTGTGCACTCTGGACAAGCTCTTGTTCATGACCTGAAGAACTCTTCCTATTTTCAGTATTGGGCATCTTTCTGTGCATTATATGATAAAAAGAGTTAAAATATCTTGCTAGAATAAAAACAGTTGTTATGTGCCATTTTTGCTCCCAAAATGGCATATAAACCAGATTCCAAATATTTGTAAGTCCTAGTCATGTACTAAATTAAGGTGTTTATACTAAATCAGAAAATAAATACAGTTAAAAGGCAGAACTCCTATACAAATGAAAGTAATTCTCCTGCATTCAACTTTTCTTTGCATGGCAAAACAAGAACTATACAGGTCTATTCTACATGAGGCCCAGACGTCATCTCCCATTTCTACATTCGCAGGAGGAGAGCATTCTGTTCCATTTGTTCAAGCCAATCCCTACTTACACATGGAGAGGATTTAAAACACACAGCAGATAAAAGGAACTTTTATTTCAGATGAAGAAATAGCACTTTCACAGATATTACAGTACAAACTTGCAAACTTCCTTTCTGTCTTCACAATGTCATTCTGAAAAATCAGTTTTTATTATTACTTTTGTATAATTTGGAACAGACTCCAAGATATTTCTTTCTTATGGCCATGTAATGAATTTAAAAAATGAGCATTTTATCCAGGTGCGATCCTGTTCCATGAACTACATTTACACCCCTACCCTTTTAATAATAATTTTAGAGTAAATTAGTTGCATTACAACTTGTACACACATACAAAAAGTACAGATAGCCCTTTTTTAATTTGCACCTATGCTCCTTTAACCTGACTTAACAACACATGCATTCATAGTAACAATTGATTCCTTCCATTTAAATTAATTTACTTGCATTAGGAATGAGTTCGAACTGGAATCAGGAGAATAAAATGGTCATATAAATCCAGACCAACACATTTTCCATAAATTACCTTGTATAACAAATCATTCCTCATGTTGCCTCTTATATTTCCATGTTGCCTCTCATAATGAACTATTTTTGAAAGCTTCTTTACTGATCAAAAACCATCCAAACAAAATTATAAATTGCATAACATATTGGGGACTGTATAGAAAGTTGCCTTCGATATCAGACTTAGAAACCTGAAAGCAGTGGATGATGTGCAAGGGTGCATTGTATGTGCATTCCAAGTGCAGCACCTTGATTTCACCAACCTGATAGTTTTGACAGCCTCTTCATCTTTGTCTCCATCAAGATCTGCTGGATCCATAAAAAACATTTTGTCTTCTGGAGGAGATGGTTCTTCCGTATCATCCAATCCCCTCCCAACATCACTATTCATTTCACTGCTGTCAACCTCCATTGGCATGTCAGTATCTTGACCTGGGCTAGCTGGTTCTTATTCCAAAAACAACAAAAGATTATTAATTTCACAATTTTACAATTCAGTTTGTGCCAAAATATCTTATCAAGAAAGATATCATATTAATGCAACCTGAATTAAGTATCTGTTCATATGTACCAGGATTATGGAAAAATCCCAAAAACTCAGCCAAGAAAGAGAATAAGCAGAAACTTTGGGGCCAAGCTTTGTTTTGCTACAACTACTTCATGCTATGTAGGTACTTCCAGAAACAGGGCAATTCTCCATTAGTGGAAAGTTGGCATAAGTATAGTTTCCATCACTTGTGCCAGGTGACTTTCACCCCTCTGATGCGAGAACATCACGACCAGACCCTTCCAGGAAAGGGTGTGGACAGGATGACAATCTGAGAACAGAACTCCCTCTACACCTGGTTCATTGCCCATGCAAATTAAATCTAGTTTCCTGTAGCCTCAAACACAGCAGGTAGCCAAGGATAAGCAGCCCCCACTACCCATACCATACGTATATGCACATAGGCATGAACAATTCCCTCTTTAGAGAGCCACAGAAATGATGCTACATAAAAGGAGTTTGATATCAGTGCTTAACCTGCTTCACAATATGGTTCTCTAATGCTCTCTACATGTAAACTATCATTTGGCTATTTCCTAAATGATACTAGCAATTCAAATAGAGGCATTCTATACAAATGTTTAAGTCAAAATTAAGTTTAGGAAGCCAATTCTATAATCATGCAAAGGGTAGTCATTGGTTAGTGAAACAGAAGAATTAGCATGGTGCCAACCACCATTTTATCATTTTCTTTTTCATGGAGGAATGCTTGCTCCTCAGATCCTCAGGTTCTGTACATGTGTTCAGTACAGTACACATGTACATTTGTAAAATAGGCTTTTCATTTTATTTAAGATATAACTTTGAATTAATGTTATATAAGACAAAAATAAGTAGTGAGTATTCCTCTTCAGGGTAACTTAAAAGAATTAAACAAGTATTCATTCTAATAATTCTTGTTAAAACTTTAGGCATTGCTGAAATGAATGTTTTGCATCCAGTGGTGTTTTCCTACTAGTAGTATGAATAAATTATTTCACCCTGCTCTTCCAGAAAGTCTAGAGATCTTTCAGAGCAGTTTTGGTGTATACAGAGTAAGGGGAAGTAGTGCAAAGAAAAGCCATGCATATATACCCTAAGTTATGTTTCTATCAATAGCTTACAAGACATATCTTACCTCCATTGAAGATTACTTCTCCAAGACAATCTTTAGGTACTTTAGAGGCACAGCGTTTGTGACAATTAAATCTGCAATCTAAATTGAGGGGAAATTTTATTTATGTATGTATGTATGTATTTATTTAGTATAATCTCTTTGAAACCTCTTTTTGATGTCTTTTTATTTATTTTCAGGACATATTTTTAAACTAATAAGGAAATGCAAGTAATTCTTTGGAATAAAGCTGTATTTTGACATAAAGCCACATGTTATGGTACCACCACTACAAGGTTCTTCACTTCAATTCAGTCATTGTAACTGAATGAGGATGATGAGGGCTGGAGCATTCCCAAGAAGACACCTTAAAACTAAGGTCCAGCCCAGAAGTAGTATCATCAATATCTAAATTGCAACTAAGAAAGTGGGTTGCGAATTCTCACAGTCCACCTGTTTCCTTGTCAGCATCAGACATGGTGCTAAGTGTATTTTGCAACGGCATTATGCATCTTTAGATTTTAACCAGGATTTTAAATCATAAACTTTTTTAGTGCTTGTGGAAACATTAATATTATTTTATTATCACAATGACTTTAGGCAAACAGCGCAGAAAGAAAAAGACTATTTACAGGATAACAACATTATCTATACTGGATTAATCTTGAATCCAATATGTTTAAAAACATAATTTTGCCCAGCCTAAACATTCACCAGGTAGTCATAAGCGATAAGGAATTTCTTGCAGGCAAATAATTAGGCTCAGAAAAGGGGAATTGAACTATTCCATTCCTCAACTGTGCCCAGTATATTCAAACAGCAAGTTGCTAAACGGAGGAACAGAGCTCTCTGTTTAATTTCTGTCATTTATATCTTATTTATCACAATACCATTCTTACCTGTTTGTTCAACTTTAATTTTATAGTTAGTTTACATTAACTTGCTGCTACAGAAAAGAAAACACTTGCCTTTACACTGCATTCCTTGGCGAAAAAGGCCTTTGAGCAATCGTTTGCAGTACTGACATATGGTGGGTCGAGTGTAAGAATGAACAGCAAAGGTATGTGGGACTTTCACCCGACAGAGCACCATTTTTTCCATCCATATTGGACGACCACTCCATGAAGGAATCCTTTTACTGGGCTCTGGATGGCAACGCTGCAAAAAAAAAAAAAAAGCAGATACTTCAACTCATGAATAAAGAAAAGTAATTCAGTAATACAATGCATACTTTTCACCCTGGCTTCCAACCATTCCTAACTCTAAAATCCTTTCCAAGTCTCCTTCCACAGTAACAGACCAAGAAATCAGACCAAGATCTAATCTAATAGAACAGTGTGTCTAACAGAACACTGTTTCTACTTATGTTTGCCTCTTTTAACTGCTTCCATCTTTCCTTTGGTTGAGCTTATGCCCAAATTTAAGCAGTACCAACAGGCATTAGCTAATGTCCATGCCATTGCTATCAGATAACTCTTAATTCCTTAAATGAAAGATCGGAATTACCCAATTTAAAAGAAGTAACATTATTTAATCTACAACAAGTTTTCAAACTGTGCTCCGCAGAACCCTAGGGTTCCACAAGAACTTGATGGAGTTCCGTGGGAGACTAAGAGCAAAAAACAATGTTTACTTGAACACAGCCAGGGGATCCATAGCCATTTTTCTAAGAAAAAACAATCACATCCCAGTCATTGAACACTGATTTGCTTGGTGAAAACATTAACCTTCCAAGTAATTATGAAATTCAAGTTTTAATTTCTGTACATTGAAAATGTTAATTTTGTATTTACAATAAACAGGTTTGGGGGTTTTTTTGTTTTTGTTTTTGTTTTTTACTTACAGTATGTGGAGGAACTTTCTGGGACAGTAATTGGGGAATCCATTTTTATGAAATTCAAATTACTTTAATATATACATTTGCATAAATAAATTACAACAAGCACGAGTTTTATTTTTCTGTAAATTTTATTGTCACTAGAGCTTTGCCGCTTGATTAGGCTTTCTAAGAATTATTTTTTAACTAACAAGTTTTTCATCCAGAAAAAGTTTGAACACCCCTGATGTAGAAGTTCTTAATGCGGTTTTGGAAATATTTTTGTGGTTAAGTATAATTTTAACACCTGTATAAACGTTTAATATCTGCATTTCTGGAAAGAAGAAATTACTTCAAAAATGTAATGAACATTTATTTATTGTTTTTATATATCAGTTTTAATAGGCTCTAAAAAGTGAACTAAATGTCCAGTAGATCATAATGTGCACGTGCACATGCACATACATTCACTTAAAGGCTGAATTCTGGGTTTTAAGCTAAGCTAGAAGATTATTTGAAGGAATCATTTGCAGCTAAGATTACATCTAAATAACATCACTGTTAAAGTTCCATATGATTAGGGAGTGCAGGAATCAGGATTATGTGGTTCGAGTCATAGCAGTATTTTATCCAGATTGACTTTAATTCTTCTTTGAAAAGAAAAAAAATCTAAATACCTCTTCTGTGGATGTAGATTCAGTTTGTACAGATCTTGGGACAGAAAGTGCAGCTCCTGGTAAAGACACATTAGATAACCGTCTCTTTCTTACCCCACTGCAGTTATTTGGAATCTTAAAAGCACATCGCTTGTGATAGTTTAATCCACACCCTAATGAAATTAATATGCGGAGGGGGAGCAAAGAAAGAAGATAAACAGATTTTTACTGCTGATGCTATATTTCAGTAATATTCGGGTTCTATTTCATAAAATACAGATTAAGCGGAATATATGGCAAAGATAACATGGATAGTTTAAAAAATGAATCAACACCTATAACATTACCATGGTCATGTAATTAACAGCAGATCTCTGCAATGCATGGAATGTTTTTGGCCTCAATATTTGCTTTTCTGACCCCACTTCACCCTGGCTAAAGCTGGAAAACAGCGTCTGTTATGCAATTCATGTTGCTGATGATTTTCCTCAGCTCTTCCCCTTACAGATTATCTAAACATTGTACTCCTGATTTTGTTAGAACCACCAGATTAAGGTAGAAGCCAATGGATAGGGCTTGGGTTATTAATGTGCCTGTGCAAATACTTCAAAAGAGTTGCTTCAGAATAAACAGGGGTGCACAGTGTAGTTTTTGGAAGAGGTACAGAAGTGCATACAAAGCACCTCTTTTCAAAAGATTAGAGCAGCTGAACTTTTTTCAGACTTCAACAGCTGCTTCAAAAGCTGTCCCCAACTGTCCCCGCTATACTTTACCCAGCACTAGTTATTAATAGTTGGAAAACGACTAGGAAAGATGCTACAATCAACTGAATAAAGGCCCTATAGAAAGGGTTTCTCTTTCTTCATAACCCATAAAAAATGTTGAGGTACAGAAAGAAAACATAAAACATTTGCACTGACATATCTTCCCACACTGCATCATCTCATTATTTCTGATATGGCACCAGCATGGCCTTTTGCATATACTAGACCTTCTACAAGGACCTCAAAAGCTTAGACCAAGCCATTTGTTCTCATAAACCAAACGTAATTATTCTTGCTAGATAAGAAATCCATCCTGTGGGGAAAGAACCATTAATTTATAAATTCTTACAAAACCTTTGTAAAATGCCATGCAAATGAAGCGCTTTTGAAAACTCTCTCTAACTATATACTATATCTGAAGATTCAGAAAAGAAACATCGTTCATAAGGCTCACTGTCACTAACTGTCTTACCTTCACATTTCAGTCCTTGCCGTACCAAGCCCCACAGCATCTCTCCACAATAGTCGCAAAAGGTGGGGGCCTTGTAAGAATGAACGTAAAGCATGTGAGGCCGAATCTGGAAATCCTCAACTGTAGCTAATGCTTTAAAAAATACATATATAAAAAAGAGTAAGTCTTAATGCCTTCTTGCATATTTAAGTACCAAAAAAACATTTTTCAAATATAGTGAATGTGATAATTTCAGCAGACTATCCAGTGTAAAAACCCTAATGGCTTAAATACTATGCGACTATGGAACAAATATCTTTACATAAAATTTTAAAATACCATTTTGGAGTATGGATCCCATGAACCTTTACACTATTTAAAACATAAATCACCCACAGATCTCAAAATTAAAAACCATGACATTAAGTCATTAGATAATTAGGATGAAAGAATTTGCTATTTTAAAAAATGAGTTTTCATGCTTTCATCTTTAGTAGATGATTCAATAAAATATTTCATCAACTCTGCACTAAGTTTACATTTTAATAAATATTTGTATCACAATTTATTCATTATATCTGCTGCACAGCAATGGCATATTATGATGTAATCAGTATGAGAACTACACCCAGAATATATATCCTTACCAGACAGAACAACCTCAACAAGATCACCTTCCCGTATCTCTTCTGCTGATGTAATTCGTTGTAAAATATTTTCTGAGTTCAGATCATGGCGGAATAGGAGAATTTTATCATACATGCCAAAAAAACCACACTCTGGGAACTGCAACAATAAAATAGCAAAAGTCTGTATTGGATATGCCATAATTTACTAATCTCATAAAACTGTTAAAAGCATTATCTAATATAATCACAGAAAACAAGACTGTAAGCATTTGTTTCTGAAAAACAGGTCATGTTGAAGGCATATTACAAACTTCAACAGAAACTGCCTCCTAATGTTATAACAGTTTTTAACTGTACCATTGTAGCACTGCAAAATCTCATTTACTTTACAATTCGCGTATCTGTTGATAAAAAAATATCCATTTAAAAATAAGGGACTTTTCTACTTCAGAGATTTGAAGTGAACAAGCTGAGATTTATTTTCTCATTACAAACTACACTGACACAAATGTATGTGATGTTGTATACAGTAAAGCTACTGAATATATACCTCCACTCCTTTTCAATAAAATAATTTAATCCTGACACATGCATACAGAACTTATTGTTAAACAAAAGAAATAAAGAACAAAACAATGGGATAATTATAAAGTCTGTGTGATAAAACAAAAATAAATAGGGTTAAGAATGAATCAGTACAAAATAAGAACATTGAGCTGGTTTGGTCATACAGAGAGAACTAGTGAAGACTGAATCATAAAACAAGTATATGAGGGAAGTGTGAATAGTTTGAGAACAAGAATAAGATTGGCAAAGTTGTGGTTGGACAGAGATGATGAGAACCTCGAAAGGAAAGAAGCAAGAAGTTTAAAGAACAAGAGGTGAAAAAAAAAGGACATCATAAAAGAAAGGTGATTTTGATTCCCCTTTCTTTTCTCATCTCGTGCCTTTATTTTCTCTGGCTTGCTATTTGTTACTCTACTTCTGTGCTTTGTACAATGTTCTCATCCCAAAGAAAATGGCCAGGTAAGTAGGTATGCTTATTTCACAGTCAAGATCCCTTTCTGTTCACCATTCATAGCAAAATATTCCTGAAATTTTATTATTTTTCTGATCTTGGTTTGTAATGTCTTGATTGCTATATATTTCAGTATTTGACTGGGTTCTTTTATTTATTTAAGTAAGGATAATTTCTCAAAGCTGACCTCATCTGCACTCTTTGTCCTTAGCAAATATGCATATTTTGGCACTGAAAATGTTTTGCTCCTGAACCGGCTCATCACAATGTGCAATATTACCAGATTTAGGAAATAACACATAGTAAAAGGACATAAGTATCAATTGATTAAGCCCACTACCAACTCCAGCATGCCTTCAGACAAGCTGAATTTCTTTCTGAAATTGCTTGTTTCTAGGATGTGAATGAAATTCTATTTGAAGCAGTGTACCATGCTTTTCCATAGATGTGTTACACTTTGCAGAATGGCTAAATATATACAACCTGTATGTAAGCATATCTTAGACATTATTTTATCAAATTTATATGGCCACCCATCTCACAAGAAATGACTCTGGGTGGTGTACAGCAATCAAGTAAAACAATAAATACATAAAAACAATCATTATTAAAAATATAAACAGTCATTATTAAAATATATACAAACCACCAGGCACAGAAGAAAGCAAATATTAACCACAATGACGGAGCCATCTTAGAATGTCACTGGTCCCACTGCTCCAGGCCTGATGACACAGCCAGGTCTTGACCTCACTTCGGGAGGGGGGGAAATGTTCCACAAGGTTGGCGCCATCACAGAGAAGGCCTGCCTCCTTGAACCCATCAAGTTTAAGTCCCTAGCCAACGGAACCTGCAGCATGCCTTCTCTGCCAGATCTAATGGGACAGACAGATATAATCGGGGAGAGGTAGTCCCTCAAATAGCCATGAAAGGCTTTAAAGGTTAAAACCAGCACTTTGAATTGGGCCCGGAAGGAAACTGGCAAACAATGCAGCTTGCAGAGCAGTGTTGTAACATGTGCTGTCCTAGAAGCACACATAACTGCCCGCACTGCTGCATTCTGCACCAGTTGAAACTTCCAGGTACTCTTCAAGGGCAGCGCATTACAGCAGTCCAATCTGGAGGTAACTAGGGCATGAGTGACTGTGAGCAGAGCCCCCCCATCCAGGAACGGGTGCAACAAGTGCACAACATGAAGCTGTGCAAAGACCCTCCTAGGCACGACTGCCACCTTAAATGGCTTTAAAGCTATCAGCAATCAGGACAGAAGTAAAAGGGCATTACTGACCTGATCCAAGAGGGCTCTTAGGTTCTTATTTGGTCTGTGTCTTCTTGGCTTGCATTATATTAAGTTACAGAGAATTATCATTTGGCTAGTATGAGATTAAGCAAACATGTGTTTTCCCAGTTCCTGAGCTGGAAGAACTATTCATCAATCCTTGAGTCATCAGAAAACTATACTGGCATGTCATTTTGTGTCGCTTTGTGCGTCTACATAAATGTGATGTATGTATGTATGTATGTATGTATGTATGTATGAATAAATAAATAAATAAATAAATAAATAAATAAATTTGCTGTTCCTTTTGCTAATTCTTATCTTACTTCTACTGACTCTATTTCAAGTTACTGCCACCATCTGACTTCCCTCCAAGCAACAGGTGACAAATACAGGTAGGCCCCAATTTAAGAATGAGTTCTGTTTCCAAGGTCTGTCCTTAAGTCAAATTTTTTGTAAGCCAGAACAGTATTATTATATAATACTGTATAATTAGTATTGTGTAATGAACTTGAACCATTGTGTATTTAACTTGAATCATTGTGTATTTAACTCGAATTTTGCTACAATAGGCTCCCTTCTTCACTATAGGTTGTCCTTAAACTGAGCGTTCTTAACCCGGGGACTACCTGCATATACTTTTGAGATAACCTTTGACAGTGTCAAAATATGGGAGAAAGCACTTAACACCAGTTAAAACCTGTCTCACTCACAGGCACTGGATGAGCAGAAAACAACATAATAGAAAAACAGGAGAAAAAATACAGCCAGGGCAAGTTTCTGTCATGGTTAGGGGCAAGTATGCATGCCTATCTAGCTCAACTAATGTGTCTTTTTTAATGGTTCTTTTTGCAGTATTTAGGGTATGAGCTAGACAGCAAGAAACCTGGGCACAGGCTTGGCACCTTCTTTTCTGGCACTCAGGAAGCTTCTGAAAGCCTTCCTTTTTAAGCAGGCTTTATCTGGGGAGGAATATAGCCATATTTTTATTACTGATTTTTACCAACTATTATGCATATTTTAGATTGGTTTTTTTAAATTCTTGTAAACCACCCAGAGTAGTAACAATAGAGCAGCACAGAAATCATGTTAATTAATAAATTAATACTAATTTTTTTGAAGATCTGAATCTTATATACATTTGAAAACTTATACAGCAGTATTTCTGAAAAGATGTTGTACTTTATTATTTGCCATCTCTTACAACTTTTAGGCACTTGGGTGTGGTGCATCTATATATGAGCAGCTAATCACAAGACTGATGTTAAAACTGTATGACCCTTCCCACTTACCAGACCATTCCTCCGAATAAAGGAGATGTCTAGGCTTGCCTAGATCAAAATCTACATGAACGTGAAACCATATCCCAGGCTGACTTTCCCATTATTTAACCTTATATTAAATCGCTATTGTAGAATCATTTGGAAGACATCTAATGCAGTCATCCAAAGCACTGATTACTCATCTGAAATTTCCCTCAATGAAAGCTACTCTCTCCCCATTTGAAAATTCCATTAGGTCAACCTGCTTTGTCTTGAAGGCTCGTGAAGAGGAAACGCCAGATATGGATACTCAGAGAATTATCTTGTAACTATCCTCAAATTCCTAGAACATTTATTAGTTTACACCAAGATAAAAATAAGAAAGTAAGTAGTTATTGTTTTACCAGAATCATATTTCTCATTCCTTTTATTAATTGTCAAGCTGACATAGTTGTCATCCAAACATAAAATACATGTTTACCAGGTTATAGACTGGGTCTAGTAACATGGAACCAGAGCACTGTTTGTGGAACAGGGTTTTCCTGTCTCTCCTCACTAAAAAAACACCTGTACATTCTCTGAGAACTTTTTACAATAGTATAGGGTACAGCACAAGAAACTGCACCATGGGGTGGGGGGTGATATTAAAACCAAGGTATGGCTTCTATTTATACAAGATAATATTTGTACATCTAAATCCTGTCTTTAAATGGGAGGAGTCTCTTGCACAGGTTTGTAGTTATAAATGAAAGAATCAGAGTTGGAAGAGGCTTTAGGTAACTGAGTTCAACTCTCTATATAGTACAGAAATCCAAATTAAAACATCCCAGACAGGGGACTTAAATAAATCTGGTAAAAGAAAGCCCAAAAGTTCTCTGGGTAATTCTTGCCCTTAATGTTAGAATTGTTTTCCTAAACTTCATCATAATCTGCTTTCCTCTACATGCCCATCATGCTATTCTCTTTTGTAGTAAGCAATATTATGCAAAGCACAAGTAAAAAGTAGCAATCAAAAGAAAATAAATGCAGGAGACAAAGAAAAAAGAAAAGAAAATCTAACTAAGTCTAGTATATACCAATATTATTCACTATTCCTCTCCATACCTTTCTATTCTTGCTTAAGTATCCTTGCTCAAATACATTATTTTGTATCCTACACTCTGGAAGGATTTTTACCTTCTTCTGTATAATATTCTTTTGAATATTTGAATAGTCCTATCATACTCCCTCTTGATTCACCTTTTCTCAATGTTAAGCATATCCAATTCTTTCAATCACAGGAGTTAGTTCCTAGTACCTTATTATCCTCACTGTTGTTGCTTGAACTGGTTTCAGTTTCTCTGGATCCTTCTTAAAGTGTGATGTCCAGACTTGGACATAGCACTCATGGAGAATAAAGATGAACTCTTACTTCCTGTGATTTGGAACTTACAGTTCTGTTGAAGCACCCTAATATTAAACATCTCTTTTTTCACATCTATATCACATTGGTCTGCAATCTACTCTTATTCCAATACTTTTTTCATAAATACTGTTTATCAAGCCAAGTATCATATTTCCCATTTGCATGAATTTGATTTCTTTTACCATAGCCATGT